TTTTATTACAAATTATTGTTCCCTAATACAAATATTGGGAAAAGAAGAGAAAAAAGAGGAAAGAAAAGCAAAAGGGAAAAAACAGAAGGATATACAATTTCCAGTCTCAAACTTTAAATCCTGGATTAAATTTCCCCTTCTAAAAGTATTTCCCCTATTTTGCGCTGTGTCTCCTCTATTTCTATCTTTTCTTGGTCAACTGTTGGTTCTTTTTTATTTCTCTGGTTATCTGAGCTATTATTTGTATTGTTGCTGTCCTGATCTTTTTCTTTTTCCCACTTGAATCTTTTGATAAATTCTTCCACCTTTGTTTTGCTGTTTATCCTAAATCTTTTTTGTTTGTATCTGAAGATTACCCCTTCTATTCTATCCCAGGAATATCTAATATTGTGCTTAGTTAACAAGTAAGTTAACTGTCTGTATTCCTGTCTATGTTTCAATAACACTACGGGTATATCTTTAAAGATTTTTACCAAATGGTTCTCTATTTGTAGGATATTTTTGTAACTTTTTACAAGGACTTCATCTCTAATCCTAGTACAGGCGAAGCGAATTACCACGTCCCGTGGTAGTCTTTTATCTCTTGCAGCTTCCGAATTTATTCTGAACATTTTATCTATTTCCATTTCCAAATAGTCCTCTGCTATGTTCATGAAGCTTGCTAATGCAGGAATTACTTTTACATAAAGATCTTCATTCGGTGTTTCTCTTATTCCTCTTAATTTTAAACATTTCTCTCTGTATCTTAATTCCTGTAATAAGCTTAAGTTTTCTTCTGCCTTACATTGATTTTCTAATCATTCTATATTCTCTTCTAATTTCTCTGTCTTTGTTTTAGCTTGTTCCTTTCTTAAGTTGGACATATCTTTAGTCAGCTCATCTAACCTATTTTCAAACTTTTCGAATCCTTTATTCATATTTTCATTGGATTCCTTCCTATGATCTTTTAATTCCTGTCTTATTTCTTTTTGGAATTTTTTAAAGAGATCCTCAAACATGGTCTGCATTTATATAGTATCTTGAATTTTTGGAAGCATTTCTACAGATCCACGCCTGTTAAATTGCAGTTTTGCTGTCTGTAACCTAGTGGTTACTGACATAATATACAAATTTTCCTTATGTAACTTGGTTTTTATACTCACAGTTTAGATATCTATTATATAAGTTTTTCTTTGGAAAACTGCAGTGAACATCCACAAAATCTCAACATACCAACATCAATTTTTCAAAATCAGTTATCAAATCCCACACTAATCCTTAGGATTAAATAATAATCCACTTCATTGAAGCTATACTGATAATAATTACTTTTGTGCCTTTTATGTGAAGTTACTAATACAGTAACATATAGACTCTCTCTGACCTATTTTACTCCCAGCTTCTTATGTGCATCCAGACAGGTGACTGACTAATAGCAGCACACACCTTAAGCAAGAGGGAGGCTGCCTAATCCGGTTAAATAGGATACTATCTATATCTTTTCTCTTCCCTCCTATAGCCCCCTTCTTTCCCTCCCCTTCCCAGAGGTTTGAATTGCAGAAATATTACGCCCTGCAAACCCCTTACTTAAGCTCCAACAAACGTGCAGATATTATACTGCTGTTTATTGTCCTGGATACACATAAATCAATTAGAATATATAAAACAATAATCTAGTATGCAATAGTCACTCAGCATTAGCACCCACATTTAGCGTGAATAAGATTCCTCTCTTTAGTTTCGCTGCTTTGCACTCCTAGATTTTAAACTGCACTGCACAGTACAGCGCTAAGAATTCTATAAATCACGAATCCCCCACCCTCCTCAGCTGTTGCTTCTGTACACCCCTGGGAGCCTGGTGACTCTCTGCGCTGCTGCTGGAGAAAAGCCGGTGCTGGTAAGCTTTTTATGGAGGACGGAGCCCTGCCCTCCTCAGCTGTTGCTTCTGAACTCCCCTGGGAGCCTGGTGACTCTCTGCGCTGCTGCTGGAGAGAAGCCGGTGCTGGTAAGCTTTTTATGGAGGACAGAGCCCCGCCCTCCTCAACTGTTGCTTCTGAACTCCCCTGGGAGCCTGGTGACTCTCTGCACTGCTGCTCTGACTCTCTGCGCTGCTGCTCTTCATATTTTTTACATTACATGTTCCTATTATATGAGTTTGGACTTTGAACTTGTCAGCAGCTGAACAGCCTTTTAGCTTGAGGTCACTTGTGGCATTAGACACAACACTATGTCTACTTGTCCTTTGCTCTTTCCCAGTAGGTGACTGAGGGGGGTTGCAGACTGCCAGAAATAGTGCAAATTGAGTCCACTTTTAGGGTTAGGGTTAGGGTTAGGGAATTATGGGAACTGTATTTTAGTGTGGCACCAGAGTTCTCTGACAGAGAAGGCTCAATGTCTCAGAAAAAAACCAATTCCCATTATTCCATAGCACTAACCCTAACCCTAAAAGTGGACTCAATTTGCACTATTTCTGGCAGTCTGCAACCCCCCTGAATGCCTTCCAACCTGACAATCTCATTTCCCAGCACTATCTCTTGTCTCATCATATGAGGTTTTCAAAGTAAAAGACATTCAGAAATGGTTTACCAGTGGTTTACTAGTGCCTCCTTCTGTGCAGTACTAAAAAGAGTTAGTGAGAGTACAGTGGTGTTGTCTCTGGGAAATCAACTAGGAGTGTCACCCCCACTGCTGCTGCCCACTAGCCTTCCTTCTGGGGCTATTTGCTACCCTCACCTTTGGAACAGTCTGCTCCCTTCTGCTCATGGAGACATTACATCCTGGAGAGGATGCATGCATCTTTGTCTGGTGTGTCCACTTGCTATAGATGACTTTCCTAAGAGTCTAGGCTCATGATAGAGTATAATCTCATGACAGAATTACACTCAGACACCCTCACCACATTAAAGTGTCCATTTGAGAAAGAGAACCGAGTGCTGACACGCAAAAAATGTTGGGTGCAGATTTGGAATTCTTTGCAAGTATTTCATGGCAGATATACTGAGTAATGATTACATCTGGGGACAGTTACTGGCCTGGATTATGATGTTCATAATCTTCCAGTTTTCATGGCCTTTGATTATAGTTTCTGCGGGATTCTTGAAGTTGTAATGCAAAAAGTGAACTTTCCAAGCTCTGCATATACTGCTTAAAGATACAGGAATTCTTTTTTTCTCATTTGGATCAAGTCTACCCTTGACAAATTAAGGCTGAAATTTGAAACATATAAGGTACTTATTTTATTTATTCCTACTTAAATCAGAATGCATTGCTTCTGTGCATTAAGGGTCCAGTCAGGGAACCATGTGTTTGTGCTCCAATGTACCCAAGCTTCTCTAGCTAGTGAGAACCAACAGCCAGTAGAGAGCAAATAGCTTGGAGCAAGCACGCTCCTCTCCTGAGGACTTTATAGGAAGTCAGCATGCCAGCAAAGTGAACATCATCACAGCAGTGTCCCTATCCTCACAACAGCAGCAAAATGTCCACAAAGGAGCAATTGTCAGTCATTATGGGGTTAAGAGTTTGTAGAAAAATTATAGACGGAATTTTTAAATAAGACACTTCCCAGAAAAACTAAATTGTCTTGCAGGGAGAGTTGCGTGTATAGGAGAGGGACAAGGTGATGTGGGAGGAGGAAAGAATAATAGAAGACTGCACTTAAGGGCTCATAATTCTTTCTCGTTAGTTCCCTGGGAACACCATGAAGTCAGTGATTTGAGGGCTGGAACATTTGCTTTCCTGTATGACAACCAGAATTAAAGAAAATGGGGTCAACAGGGCTATTAGCAAAGCCAGATTGCTTTTACTGATAAGAATTCTGTGTGAATAATTTACCCATTATGTATACTCCCCACCATTTTGGACTGCAATTTGGGTTTGCTTGACCTAAAGTGCCTCAGAGATGTAAGTGTGAAAGCTGGACATGTTAAAGACATTCAGACACTTGTCTGTAGCCTTTTCTCAACCTTTGCCCAGGAATGCATGCTCCCATTCCAGAACAAGTATTCCCATTCCTTGCCATCCAAGATGCTGTACTTATGTATAATTCTGTCAAGGATTTTCTGCTCTTTGGCTCTTCTGTAGAGCTGCCTTATGCTGAGTTGGACTCATGGTCCAAGAGTCTACTTTGGCTCTGCAATATCAAGTGTGTCTATGTGTCTATGTATGTTAGATGCCTTCCAATTGTTTCCAACTTATAGCAACCCTAAAGTAAACATATCATGGGATTTTCTTGGCAAGATTTGCTCAGAGGAGGTTTACCGGTGCCTTCCCCTGAGCTGAGGTCACCTGACTTACCCAAAGGCACCCAATGGGCTTCATGGCCAAAGGGGGAAATCGAACCCTGGTCTCCAGAGTCATAGTCCAACGCTCAAACCACTAAACCACACTAGTCAATGCAGAGTTGTTTTTTACTAGCTCTCCCTCACCACCCCTTTAATTCTATTTGCAAAAGACTTAATTTATGACTTCTTGCATGCAATGCCTTCGTTTTACCACTGGGCTACAATCCTTACAGGCCTCCTCTCTGGGACAAACAGAACATGTGTCTAGTGAACAAACTAATCACTGATAAAATTGGACTGAAAAACCACAGGGCTTTTTAAGTGCGTTATAGATAAGTCCCTAAACTGTGAAATCCTCATATTATGGCCAACCTTCCATCAACCAAAAGAGGCTACATTGGCCAAGGCTGTATGTGGGTATCTTGTTGCCACAGTACTTGCCTACGCACTAACTGCAGGCTACCCTTCCTCTGCACAGAGCTTTGTGCAAGAGCTTATGCAGAGCACTTATATAATCTGACATTTCCTTCTATTCTAGACATTTTAACAATGCTGTAATGTGGGCAGGCCTGGCAAGCTTTGTGCCACAGAAGCAAGGGGAGGAGGTAAGAAGGAGAGATTTCAATATTTTGTGATACATTCTTCTTCCACTGATAGAGGAAAGGCCTAGAAGTTGGGGTGACCTATGGATAACAGGCTGGATCTGTCCCCCACCTATTATGCCCCCCCCTTTGGCAATCAGGTAGAGTGCCAATGCAGAACAAATTCATAGATGAAAGGAGAGTGTCAATGGAAGACATCTCAAATCTAACCAGGCAACACAGAAGACACCTTTAAGGGAAAGTATGTGCTTGCACTTCTGGTGCTCTTTCACTGAGACACCAAAGGGCAGCTGATACATCTGAATAAGCCATCGCAGATAGGATTTTTACATTGTCCAACACTGGAGCTTCTGGAATGTGTTTCAGGATGCAGGCCATCAGCATATGGATGTGCCTCATGGAGCTGAAGGAAACAAATGCCTATGGGACAAGGGATGTGTTGTTTCACGTCTTCCAAACCATACACCACACCAGGTGGGCACTCTGAGGCCCTCCAGATTTGTTGGGCATCAGTTTTCCTTTTAAAAATCCCAGCCATGGATTATGGGACTTGTAGTCTAAAACATTTGGAGAACATCAGGTTACACATCTCTCTATTAACACCAGTTAAAATGACATAATGAGTAAAATGTATTAACTATGACAGAGAGCTATCCCATTTCAGATTTGTGTAACACAAGAACAGATGCAATCCTATGTGGGTGAAGATAACAAGTCTGATTTGTCTGCGATTCCAAGCAGGATTTGTATTTGTAGACAGTGTATTGAGTAAGATATGATTCACTACATACTAACTTGTCCCTTGTATAGTGAACCAATAAAGTGATTTCTGAAATTCTTGCTAACAAATGGAAGTGAGAAATCTCTTTTAAATTCAGATCAATTTCTTTTGAGTGAAACTAACAGCAATTTAACACATAAAGTGGCCCTTTTTGCTTTGGCTGAAAAAAGATCAGACTTAATCTAATTGCCACAAATTGTCATGGAGACTCAAAAGTATTGATTTGATATTCTTGTTGGCAACTTTGAAATTCACCTATAATTTTAGCAATTTATACCCTTTATGCTAGGCTGGTCACAACTTTCATTATTGTATATGAAATTATTGGGTACTATTTGTACTTTTTAGCTTTAATTTTTTTGTATGTTTTTATACTCTTTGTCATGACCTTTAGCTAGCATAATAAATGTATTGATCATGTTGCAAACTTACATTGGCTGATGGAGTGCACCAGATTTTCCAAAGGAAATCAGTCTGTGTTTTAGAGATTATAGCAAGGTCTTTAGTAGTGTAGATCATGAGAAAACATGGTTCATTCTAAAAGAAATGGGAGGGTCATAACCCACCTGATTTTCCTGATGTGGATAACATGCCACTGTCAGGATATAATATGGAGAAACAGAATAGTTTCCTATTGGCATGGGGGTCAGGAAAAGCTTCATTTTTTTTCATCCTATCTGTGTTAATTTATATTCAGAATGTAGCCTATGGAAAGCTGGATTAGATTCAAAGAAAGGAGGTGTGAAAACAATTGAAGATATGCAGATGACTATCATGACTGTTTACTAGCAGAAAATAGCAATGATTTGGAATGACTACTGAGGAAAGTAAGGGAAGAAAGTGCAAAAGCAAGTCAACAGCTAATCATTAGGAAAACAAAAATAATGACCAAAGATGATTTACATAACTTTAAAGGATCCTGAAAACAGTGAAATAATTTGAAACTTTTTATACCTTGGTTCAAACATAAATCAAAATGGATATTGTATTCAAGAAATCAAAGGAAGGCTAGGACTTGGAAAGGCAGATATGAAGGAACTAAATATGATCCTCAATTGTAACAATAATAGAATACCAGGGTAATCCATACCATAGTAAAGTATTTTTGGCATATAAAATGACTTTTTAACCCTGGAAAATCTTCTACAAAGTCAGGGGTTGTCTTATATGCCGGGTGGAGGAGGAAGAAGAGGAAGACAGGGTGGCCGGCGCAAGGCAGGAGGGGGAGGAAGAGAAGAAGTGGAAGTGGGGAGGGGGATGCTGGGACTCACCATCCATCCATCCATCCATCCCAATCTCCTTGCATACACTTTCCTGATGGAGAGCAGCCTAATGGTCCCCTAGGTCAGGAATTTGGGGAGGTGGTGTTCTTCTTGTTGCTGCTGTTCCTATTTGTTCAGAAAGGGTTTGTCATTGCTTTCCCCTGAGGCTGAGAGAGTGTGACTTCCAAGAATGTTGTTGTTGTTGTTATTGTTGTGTGCCTTCAAGTCGTTTCTGACTTTTGGAAACTCAAAGAAGAACCTATCCTGGTGTTTCCTTGGCAAGGTTTGTTCAGAAAGGGTTTGCCATTGCTTTCCCCTGAGGGTGAGAGAGTGTGACTTCCAAGAGATTCGCCTTAGGGTCACCATTAGTTGGAAATGACTTGAAGGCACACATTAACAACAACAACAACAGTCTTGGAAGTTACACTTCCAAGACTGTTGTTCTTGTTGTTGTTGATGTGTGCCTTCAAGTCTTTTCCAACTGATAGCGACCCTAAGGCAAACCTTTCATGAACTTGCCTATGTGTTTTTTCAGACAGGGTTTGCCTTTGCCACCCTCTGAGGCTGAGAGAGTGTGACTTATAAGGTTGTTGTTGTTGTTGTATGCCTTTGAGTCGTTTCTGACTTACGGAAACCCTAAGGTGGCCCTATTATGGTGTTTGCTTGGCAAGGTTTCTTCAGAGGGGAGATTGCCATTGCCTTCCTCTGAGTCTGAGAGAGTGTGACTTGCCCAAGGTCACCCAGGGGGATTCCATGGCTGAGCCAGGATTCGAACCCTGGTCTCCAGAGTCATACTCCAATACTCAGACAGGGTGACCAAATGTCTTCAATGCAAAGGAGAACAAGTCACTATAAAAAATGTAGGACATACAAGATAAAAATGTAGAGAAAGCTACAAACACTAATATAAATGTAAATCCATGCTTCTTAGCCATGCTCAAAATGGAGGACATTTTGGAATTCCTCCTGGAGAGAGGGTTGACATGAAGGGTATGTCCTGGAAAATGAGGATGTGCATGCTCACTCTGACCACAAAATTAGGACATAAACTGAAAAGGTAGGACATTCCAAATAAAAGGGCTCAAAACACAAACAGAGATGCACAACCTTATCATGGGGTTTTCTTGGCATATTTCTTCAAATGGGGGTTGTCATTACCATCTTATGAGGCTGAGAGTGTGTGACATGCCCAGGGTTACTTAGTTGGCTGCAAATTGTACATACCCCAGAATGCAACACCTAGTAAGTATATTGGCAGTCCTTCACTCCAACACTTTCTCATTTCCCCCCAACCATCTCATAGCTGGGAGATGGAAATAATTTTTAAAGCAGCATTTAAATCTGGACTATTTTTAAAAAAATAAAGTCCAAAGCACACTGCAGAAATAAATGCTAGGGAACATGGTAGCTGTAGTTTGTTGTGTTTGTAAGTGACAGTTTTCCTGCTAAGTACCTGCATGTCATAAGCATTTGAATTAAAATTAAATTTACCATATTGAAATCAAATCTGATTTTTTTTAAAAAAATTATTTGGTGTGTGTTGGAAGAGGGGTAGTCTTATACAGCGCGTATATCCCAAACTCTATATTTAAACTGGAATAGTTGGGGTTCGTCTTATATGCCCAGTCATCTTATACGCTGGAAAATACGGTATTTCAAAGCCAGATAGTGAAAAAAGCTGGCAGGAAGACAATAAACTCATACAAAATAAATGGGTCCTAAACCAAACTCTCTTTGGAAGCCAAACTGAAGCTAATCACACTTTGGTCATATAATGAGATGACATGACTCACTGGAAAAAGATGACAACACTTAGTAAAGTAGAAGCTAGCAGGAAAAGTAGAAGCCCACATTCTATGTCAAGGAAGCCACATGTTGGAGGTCTGTCATTCATAGAACTCCATAAGCTGGAGTTGTCTTGATGACAATTAATAACAATAACTTAGACAGAAAACAACTTGTAGGCATCTGACTAATATCTCCAATTGTTTTTCTCCTGTTTAGTTTGTAATATCTTGCCTGATGAAGAAGCCCATGGAGCTTCGAAAGCTTGCAACAAATACATTGCGCATTTTGGTTGGCCAATAAGGGTATCACTGATGGATTTTTGTTTGGATTAGTTAGACAGAGATTGATTGAAAAAATGGATAATAAGAATGTCATTGGACTCAAATGACTTGAGAGAGAGAGAGAAATGAAGAGTTTTGAAAAAGTTCAGAGAGAAAAAAGATTGCTATACAAGCCTAGCTAATATTCTATATACCTATTTATTTATATAGCACCATCACTGTACATGATGTTTTAGAAGGAAAAGAACAGGAAAACACAGTTCCCTGTCCACAGGCTTACAATCTAAGGGGGGTTGCAGACTGCCAGAAATAGTGCAAATCGAGTCCACTTTTAGGGTTAGGGTTAGGGCTAGGGAATCATGGGAAGTGCATTTTATTGTGGCTCCAGAGCTCTC